CGCGATGGAAGGGAAGAAGGATGTATTCTCCGGTGGTAGAGAGACGAACGTTGGGGTAGTTTCGCCCATTTCAGATGTGGAAAACATCCCCTCGATGAGACGGTGCGGTTACCTCGGTTTCCACCTTCTGCTTCCCTTCTCTCGCCCCTCAACCGTACTTGCGTACCCCGAACAGGTTACAAACGACGGGCACGGTATTACAAGCCGCAAATTACACCCCCGCCGCCCCTGTGCTGCCACGTGAATGTGCAAGAGCCCAAGACTGCTGGATTACACCCCTGACTGCGAAAGCTTCCGCCGGAATACCGCTGTTGCCCTTCTCCGAAACGGAACGATCCTGCCTCCTCGGATAAGTTACGGAGAAGAATATTAACTGTCGTTTGGTAGACAATTATTGGGACGCGGCAGTGTGAGAAAATACGCGTTACTCGCAATTAATCGTACAAACACGTCCAAATACGTATTTATATTCCAAGGATTGATATTTAATCGACGATACACATTTTCGTTATTCGTGCAATATTCACTCGTAAATTAACTTCAAAGATAACGATGGTAGATGTATAAAGAGAAAAAGCGGTGGATGCTCGAAGAGAGATTCCACCAAGATAAATACGCAGCGTTGCTAATCCCCTCGTGTAAAAGAGAACACGGTCTTTCTGTTCATAAATTACAATATTCCTGACCAGTCCCCTCCCTCTCTCTCTCTCTCTCTTCTCTCGTTCACGTTGCGAAAGTTGCGGAAAATTCATTACCGAATTAACGCCGCGGATTTCCCAAACTATGAGTTACAGCTCGGCGAGATTCGCGCTTTAATCGCTCGGTTGTCCGATACTTCTTCGAGTTCGTCCCCTTTGGTAGATAACGAGGATAAATCGTTGATACGAACCGATATGTCCCGTTGAACAATTTACCACTCCGCTCCGGTAATTAGAGGTTGTTCTCGCGCGTGAGAAACGCGGGTTCGTAAAGAACGAAGTTTTGCTAAACGGTTCGCCGGGCTGGTTGAGGAGCGGGGAAGAAACAAGGGAAACGAAGTCGTTTGCCAAAAATTACGTTGCGAAGGAGGCGGAAACTTTTCGGCCGTAATCTCGCCGCGCGGTTTAATTTTCCGGAATTATGCGCCCGCTGGAAAACGCGCGCGCGTTATCTGAAATCCTCATTTTCCCGCGGCGATCCTTTTCGCCTTTTCGCCTGTAATAACGTGGCTCGCTCACAGAGGAACAGAGAGAGAGAGAGAGAGAAGCCTCGTGTATTACGTCGTTCCATTAATTAATTTACGCTGTGCGCCACGTACTGGATTACGAGGCCTGCGAACGATTCCATTCTTCTCGAGCAGGGCACCGCCGTCTTCTTGAAAAGTATCGTAAAACAGGGAGCAGAAAGGAAAGGAAAAAAGGGGTGTATCAGCATTCACCTACCTTGCACTCGCGTGGAATTATACGCGAAACTCTGTAGGGTCTCTTAAACGGTCGTACAACCTGGAGGTAATACTTTTAATTAGAACATAAATTTCTCTTTAATTCGATGCAGAAATTCTCTCTCTCTCTCTCTCTTTCTCTCGCAAGAAGAAACCAGCAAACTCCGGAACGACTTTTTTTAAATTGAAACGAAAGAACAGAGGTTCCTTCGTCTCCGCGTTTCATCCAGGAGAAATAGTTTTCGCGTTTCGACGTTCAATGGGAGAGAAGAGTAAACAGGAGAATAGGGAGAAGGAAGGAGGACCGGAAGGTAATGGACAGCCGTTGGAGGTGTGCGAGGTCGCGATGCTGAGACAGATGTGAATAATAGAAAGCAACGGACTTGGAGTTAGCAAGTTTCGAAGAAAGATGGAAACGCTTTTCCTACGGATACAATTTTTCCGCGCACAGGATCAGCTCTGTGTGCGTGTGCGTGTGTGCTCGTCGAACACGGGTCCGAGTGTTGGGGAATTTTCGCAGACGAGAGCATTACTTTTTACGAGTGTGGCACCCCAGAGAGGAACCGTATCCACAAGACACGCCTCGTAGGTGCTCCATATTTCATACCCTGTTGCTTTCGACGCGGATCTGCCGGTTCTTTACGCTTTAAAATGAAAATAGATGTTGTATACGTGTTTC